GTGCTTCTCCTGGGGGAAGAGGGGACTTGACCTCCCGCATTTGCTGTGACTGCGATCTCCCTGGCTAAGGCCAGTGTACAGATTTCTGCCTGTCTTTCATGATGTATTCATGCCTCTCTGGTCCCAGGTCTTCCAATGACCCATTGCTGGCTACACTCGGGTGCAACACAGAGAACAAGAACACATTACTTTGTGGTTCTACTTGGAAAAATATTCTCTACCAGTCATCTTCTTTTGGTTATTTTTTTCATTACAGGGGAAGAGAGAGAAGGACAAAGCATTTATTTCATTTGCCTAACCTAACTATATGGTTAACTGTGCCCAGACTGAAGAAAATGATAGACTATTTCTTGCTAGCATCAGACATGTTTCTTTCTGTCCTGCCATTCACCAATCCATGAAAAGAAAATGATGTTGGAAGAAATGACTCTTGCTAAGTCAGTGGTGGTTTATAGTTTGGCTCTGAAAACTAAGAACCCAAAAATAAAAAATAAATATATTTTTTAAAAGTCACCTCCTTTCTCCCTAAACAAAGTTGAGTAGATGAACCATTCAGAAGATCACAAAGATGAAACATAACTGAACAGGACCTAGAAAGAAAAAAAACCTACATTCCCCTAAAACAATATCTTGTTGTCCTCCATATAATTGAGCAGTCTCTTTGCTCTAGCCAGTATTTTAACTTCCAGGACAATTCGCCTTCACTGACGCGGATCCACGGAAGATATGACCTAACAGCATATACTGAAAGCATCGCACGTTTGCAGTATCTTCCCATGCCCATTCACATCTGAGATAAAATTCACTTGCAGTTATTCAATAAAATTATGTGTAAATAAACAAAACACCCAACTCTTTCATTTGTAAAAAAAAAAAAATTCAATTAATATGTTTGGGAAAAATGCTGATATTTTCAATTCCCCAAGTCCTGATGCAATCTGTTTTGTAGAGTTAGACCCTGTATCTTTCAAAGTCTGTGTAGGGTGGTATCTGATCTGTGGGCAATTTGGGTCTTTACTTTTTGACCTTCACCCTAGCAGAGGACAGCCAGCCAGTGAGAAGAAAGACAATATAAATGATGGCAGAGGATGATTTATTTTTAATGCGATAGGATCATCAATTAAGACACCTCAGAAAAAGACAACAGGTCAATTTCTTTCCCCACACAAGCCTCTGCCATCCAAAGCCCCTATTCCCATCCCCAGGATGGTTTTAATTCACTTTGTTTTCGAAAAGGTTAGGAGTGTCTCCAATTTTGACATGTATAAAAATCACCTGAGGGGCCTGTTAAAAGAGTATGTCCGGGTCCCTTCTTGGACTTGCCAATTAAAATTTCTGGGGATGGGAGCCACCATTTTAAACACATTTCCTAAGAAATTCTAATCCAATGCTTTTAAGAACACTCCTTGAGAAACTTTGGGTCAAAAAAAGCACACACACACACATAACACACCACTGAAATACCTGGGGGTAGGACCCAGGGGAGCTGCGGATCCAAAGGAAAGGGCCAGGCCTCAACAGGCTCTTATCCCAAGTTAGGGAGCTTGCCTTTCCTGGAAGGCAGGGGCCACTGTGCGGTTATTAGCAGGACTGTGACTTGGTAAACTTTGCAGCTCATAGCTCGTGTGTCACTCTGTCCAAGAAGTCTCCATACTAGTCCAGGAGGGGTTCCTGCTCCTCTGGGCTCTGGGTTAGCCTGGGCATGTGTCTAACTCACCACTGACCACACTGTATTGACACTGTCCATTTGATTGTTATTGTTCTAATCTCTCCTGCATCAGTAAGCTTCGTGGGCAAGGAAGTATCTTGCCCACCATGCTGGCATATAGTAGTGTCCTTTAAATGTTTAATCAAGTGGAATATCGTGTTACATTTACCATGTCACCACCAAATGGTCCTGATTTTTCACATGGAAAGTGACTTCACTGTCCCCCATTCCTCACTCAAATGTCCGGAAATGCTTCATTTCTGGTGGACACACTGGACCCTATTTCTAAACTTCTCATAAACCAGAGGATATCCATCTTGTGGAAGGAATCAGAATGAAATGCAAGATGCCTGAAGTTTTTTTTTTTTAATCATACTGTTATGAAGTTAATTCGTTTTCATTTTTATGTTTCAGAAAGAACTTAACCCTACACAATCCACATGTGTAGGTCAAGTCCTTCAAAGCAAGTTAAGGCACAGGAAGTACCAACATCTGATGAGAGCATGAAAGCACGTAGTGTCCAGAGTCTTTTCAATCCTAAATGCCAAACACCTGGATTCTGTGCCAGGTCCCGGCTCCAAGCACCTGTTTCACTCTGGCCAGCTCTCCTACCTTTCATCCCCTCCCCACTCTGTGGTAGAAGAAACAAAGAGGCAAGAAGAATTTTAGCCTTTTGATTTTGTTTTTACAGAGCAGGCAAGAAACAGTCCATGAACTAGGAATCAGAGAGAGTCACCCCAGTGAGATCCTTTCCTAGAGAATTCCTTTCATTCTTAGGGAATAAAACAGAGACACCAACCGGGTGAAAACATAATTCTGGTTTTACCTGTGAGCCTCCTCCGGGCCTGTGCGGTCAGTCATGCCCGGCCACAAAGGTTGCACCTCACCCAGCTTACCTTGTGTCGTGGGTTCTTCTCGCTTGTCCTGCGGTCACGTGAGTGCAGCTCTGTGCACTAAGGGCCCTCAACTCAGTCTGGGCACTTTGGGGCTTGGAGAGGCTCCGGTGGGCCATGGGACATTGACAACCAGCGTTTGGGGCTCCCTTGATGATGGCTCTGGAGGTCTTTCCACGGTCCACGCAGAAGGGCTCCGAAGGGCCTCTGCGTTCCAAGCCTGAAGCCACGACCCAGGCCCAAGTCCGCCGTAGGGTGTGGGAGATCCCAGCCCTGAGAAGACCCCTGCAATCCCACTGCCTCCGTAGGCCTCAATCCCACTAAGAGCGGCGCCACCTGAGGAGACCCGCACCTGCCCTCTGGGCGCCGGTGGGCGGAGGAAGCTGCCCGCCCAGGCCCTGCCCCCTCCCGGCCCCCTCCCAACCCCCTCCCGGCCTCGCAGCTGCCCCGACAGA